TGTAATATCCCAAATTTTCGGGAATATTTAAGTGTAAGTTAAGGACTAAATTGTGGAAAGATATTGTTTTGGGCTTAATAGCCAAAATATCCAAACTTGAGGGACTTAAAAGAGGAGAATTTGGATAAGGATGGCTTATTTCTTTTCTCCTTTTTCCTCTTTTTCTCCAGCCCGATTCTGCTCTTCTTTCTTCCCGCTGCAGCCCGAAATCCCCCCCCCTCCAAGCCGCCGGCACCAGCTTTGAAAAATTGGTGAGAAAGCTTGGTTTTCTCCTTCCTTTCTTGCTCTAGAACACTTCTAGAACCCAGAAATCTCTCCCCTTTTGCTGCAAAATCCGGATCTGCCTTGCTCTGCTCCTCACCGCCGGCTGTTCCTTGCTTGTGGGTGCGAATTGCCTTGATTTTCTGGTAAGAACAGCCCCTAATTCCTTTGTTCTTGCTTGAATTGGCTTGGGTTAACTTTGATTGCTCTTGTTTCCTTCGATTTTGGGTGAACCCGTGAGTCCCCTGCAGAATTTTCCTGCACTGCCGCCGGCCTCTCCCCCCTGCAAGCTTCGGTTCTGCTAGCTGGAAAATTCTGGTATGTGGCAGCCTTAAACCATTGTTTTAAGCTTGGTTTAAGTGTAAATTAGCTTGATTAGTTGCTGTGATTGTTGGAGAGGAAAACCCCGTGAGATTATCTAGTGTTTTGGCCAATTTGTGGAAGTCGGGGTACTGTTCACGTCGGGGTACTGTTCACGTCGGGGTACTGTTCACGGATACTGTTCACCGACACTGTTCACACCCCGAGGGCCAACAATTAACGGGGATTTAAATGATTAGTTTGTGATATGAGAACGAATTTGGAGATATTTGATCATGTGGAGAGATAGAAATAGCATTGTGATTAGGAATGATCCTAATGATGATTTCAGCTTGAATGTGTGATAATCCGATATTAATTGTGGATATTTTGATTAGGTTCTTGATCGTTCTGTCAGTTAGTGCGTGAATTGAGTGCTCAGTTTTATGCGAGTGAGGTAAGTAAATTTATGGTAATGCCCGTACTGTTTTATAAGCATGTTTCGATTTGTTTTTGAAGTGGTGGCGGGACTAAACCCGTTTTACACGAGTATAACTGATTTGAAATGATATTTTTATGCTTTTCATGAAATTGAGCATGCCTACTTGAAATTTGAGTGACTGTCCTGATGATCTGAAAGTGATTGTGAATTGTGATTTGCCTGTTAACTTCTGCCTGTTTTGTCTCCGATATGGTCATGTTATTCGTGTGCCCGCTAGTGGGAGGTTTATAAACGCTAGCACATGTCGACATGTTAGTGATAGAGCCGGTTCGTTCAACCCTGCTTGTGGGGGTTATACACCAGCAAATCGTGTGCCCGCCAGTGGGAGGTTTATAAACGCTGGCCGTGACCTATAGAGGAGACGTCTATTTTGTGCCCGTACTGTATCCGTTTTTCGTGATTGTACTTGTTGGCATGCTTTAAGTTTGATAAAGGGCACTCCATATTTACTTACTGAGTTTATCTCATAGTTTTTCCTTGTCCACCATTTCAGGAAGTGAAACCGAGGACGGGGAAACCACGGGAAGTGACGAGTTAGAAGGCTAGCCATATTGTAATTGGATATA